AGTTGTAATGGAACGTTTGTTCACAGCACAGAATTCTACAATTTTTCTGTTATCACAGTGTAGAATTCTGTGGTTTAGGGTGAACGCAAAATTTGGTGAACGCGCACCGGGTGAGAATAGCCACAAGACTCGCCTGCACTATTCTCACTCCGGGTGAGAATAGAGGTGGCCTATCTGAATATTCAGACATTTAAAAATCTCTAGATCTAGAGTCTAGATCTAGATTCTAATCTAGATCTAGATCTAGCTCTAGAAATTGACTTAGATACAAAAAATGCTTCTTCCCAGTCTTCACAGAATAATGGCACCGGCATTATAATGAAAGATACGCCTAAATCTCACTAATAACCCAAAAATTCCGAGAACGAAAACCTTTAGGAGAAATAGAGATCAAGTTTATTTTCGCAAGCGTTCGGAGAAATAGTCACTTCGAATAAAATATCGTGTGGTAAACCTGGAGAACAAGAAAAAAAAAACATGGGGCACGGAGAAGACAGAACTGACAGTTGACAGTATTTTCTACTTCATAAGCAACATAAAACGTTTGTTAATCATTATAAGCCATAAAAACGTAGACTATGCTGCTTGCGCTAGTGGATCCTATCTGGCCTTCTATCAATTCGTTACTCAGATCATACATTGATATTGATCATCCGGCCATTTTCTACTTTCGCTTTCACTTCGACTTCATCAGTTTTGTATGCGTCAAGCCAGCTGATCTACAAAATGTAGAATTCCATCGGGAAAGTTCATTGATAGATTCAAATATTACTACTCTAACGATATTATATTTTTCAGTAATTTCGATAATCTGTTTGCATTCACTTCACACCCTACCTCAGCAACAAAGTGTCTGGATCGGCCAAAAGGAAAGTTGAAATTGTTATGCTGCAATGACATCAACCAACGCAGTACAGGAAAATCCACAGAGAGTTACTTCCCATGTCTGTTTTCAAGTCATGTGAGGTCAATTAATTAAACAGGGATAACCTATTGACCTTTGACTTTAACTTTTAATTATTATTGTAGTTGTAGCAAAAAAGGCATAACAATGTTAACAATATTATTAATTATATATCCATCTTATACTTATAGGTCAAAACCATCATCATCAATAAGTGCCAGATCTGAAACAGATATTGGAGATCATATTATGTTATCGCCATTCATTCCTTTTTGCTCGGATATTTACTATTTGCTGTAAACATTATTAGATCTAGATTCTATATCCTCTTCTTTGCCTGTCACCTAACGGGTCTTCCCTGCATCGTTTGCCTCAATTTTATTTTTTATTTGTTTATTTGTTTATTGTTTAATTTTTTTTAAAAAATTTTTTAATTTTTTTTTTGGTTTTTGTTTTGTGGGGTTTTTTTGTTTGGTTTTTTTTTTTTTTGGGGGGGGGGGGTCCAATTTCAAGATGTTCATGGTCATAATGTATAATGCCAAAGATCTGTTAGCAGGCCTATCCCAGAAATTGCATTAATTTGTCTTTTCCATGCCGTTTTTATTAGTGAGCTTGCCCACACGTGATCTCGAGTTTCTTTTAATACTATCCATGATTTCTTTTTCTTCCATCCTTTGTTCAGTTAAAAATCGCTCAAAATTGAAAGCGGCACCTTAATAATAAATACATTCTGGGTAACATTCTCTCTCTCTCTCTCTCTCTCTCTCTCTCTCTCTCT